CAGGAAATAATCAGTATTGCAAGCGGTACACAACTGTGACACAACTCTATTTAAACTTTTACTTAAATAAACTTTACGTAACATTTTTAGTTCAGACACTAAAAAGATAAATTTCGAATAAATATGGCGGACCTAAAAAGACTTTGTGTCATCATTTCTTTTGCCCTGGAAACGGGATTATATAATTCCTTAACATCGAAAATAGGTAGATATGTCTGCTGCCCATGGCGACGCGTTCCTCAAAGAGCCATCAGACCACCACACATGAGACCTAGTAAGGCTGATCGGGCATCAGCCTTACACAAAGCCGCAGAAGACCTAACAGGGTGACGGGGCTCCAGTTCGAAGAACAGGAGTAGGAACGGGGTGATTTTTAGTCAGTAAAAGTCTGACACTCCCTAAGAGTCTGACTGCCGCCTAAGCCAAGGCGGGAGAAATAATAATTTCCCCCTAAAAAAATTACATTAAAATTACCAGAAACAGGGTAATCCATCATATTGTAAGTCCCCCATCCCATAGAAAAAGCTAACATACATCCAGTAGACTGTAAGAATTCCAAAATAATATCCCAGTCTAATGTTCCAAATCTTTTACAATTTACAGCGTCGTTCTAACATTTTTCCAAACCATATTCTCAAGTTAGTCGAACCGATATTGATGAAGCAGCCATCATTCTAAAGCGCATTATTGGAAAAAGATTTGGAGTCATAAAGTGCTACTCCTCGCATTACATTGACTTGTGTTCTAGTAAAACCGCTGCCACTTGAATTTTTATAGACAAGCTTGGATTTAAACCAAGAATTTTAATAAAAGATTATAATTATTTTCTTCAACATTTGAAACAGAAGTTACAATGGTTTCGCTACAAAGTAAGTCCAGTTTTTAATAAGTTCTGCGCATAGTTAGTTCATCCAGGATTCAACAATGTTGCTTAAAGTGTTGAATCTGATTCGGAATGATTTGAGCTGTTTTATTCTGTGATGAACGTACTTTAGTTTCTAGTAAGAGAGAATACTTAATGAAATTAATAGTTTAATCCGTTCGTAACCTTCATACGAGGCACTACTAAATTTAAATACTGGGAAAAATTTAAGAGAAATTATTAAAGGGGGGGGGGGGCAAAATTATCAAAACAAATCCTGATTTTACAAGACATAACACCACGCGAATAACAATTAGTTTATTGCTTGACTAAGACAGATCAGACCTTTTTTTTTTTTTTTTAAGGGGGGAAAATCATCGAATGACTGCCCCCGCCTGGGTGAGGCGGGAGGGAGTGTCAGACTCTTACTGACTAAAAACCACCCCGTTCCTTCTCCTGCACGTCGAGCCGGAGCCCCGGTTACCCGTTAGGTTCTCCGCGACTCCGAATCGGCATCGGCCGTATTGGGCCCCATCTGTGGTGGTCTGATGGCTTCGCAAAAGGAGGAGACGGCATCCCAGTCCCCCTCGCTCCGCATCATGGCCAGCACTAGGCCCGGACGCGAGAGGTCGCCATCGCCGATCACTTCCCTGAGGACACGGCGGCGCTCAGCCCACGAAGGGCATTCTCCCACCGCCAAGACAGATCAGACCTATCTCGCAGAGATTCCATTAGTAGAAGAGACAAATATAAACCATCGAATAATTTAGCGTCTAACATCAGAGACAAATCAATCCATTTCAATACCAAATGACATCACCATCTACTTTTTTCTAGAAGTCCAAAATGAGCTGTCAATCGCTTTCAAAGCACCAGAATAAGTCCACAAGACTGTAAAGTATCTCATTGAAACGCAAATTGGATTCGACGCCGAAGCAAGTGTCCCTTTTCCTGAGATTTGCATAAGAAACTCGTGTAGTGACGTCATCGGCTCACTTTCATCACTGACAACCCGTGTGGGGACAGTGTTACTCAAATATAGCCACCGTGGCATATATATACCTATGTAGTTTTGAGGTAACTTGAATTTGTAATGGTGTGTGAATTTAGTGCTAAAGTAAGATGTCTGTATCATTTTGTCCAACTTGTTATAAAGGATTGTTGAAGTATGTATTTTCGTTGCGTACTTTTTGCATGTCGCATTTATTGTTCCGCTGAAATAGTACTTAAATTTACGCTCTGTCTGATAAAAGTAGGTAGTCACTATTACCGTGTCTTATGTTCATCAATATTTTGTACCTGTAACATCAATACTAAATATACTAGGTTTTAAAAAAAAAATCTCGGTGGGTGTTAGATTCTACAGTGACATCATTAAGTACGGTAATGTACACCTCTGCCTACCCCTTCGGGGATAAAAGGCGTGATGTTATGTTATGTCATCATTATTACTATTCAAAAAATATCATAACAGTCTAGAGTATATTTATGCTAGGCTAGGTATTTAACTCTTTGAGTACCGTCATTATAGACACAATTAAAGAACAATTATAGATTACGGTCACCGGTCTCTACGCGGTGTTTGACAGTTTAAGGAGCCATCGGACCACCATAAATGGGGCTCAATAGGGCTGATGCAAATATGGAGCCGCGGAGGACTTAACGGGTTGCCGGAGCTCCGGCTCGAAGTGCAGGAGTAGGAACGGAGTGATTTTTAGTCAGTAAGAGTCTGACACTCCCTATCGTATCACCCGGGCGGGAGAAGTCATTGCATGATTTTCCCCCTCAAAAACAAAATTATAAAAAACAGACTATCTAAATACCGACCCTATAACAGTTTAGCTATATTATAGGGTCTAATCTATTAATAAACAGAAAACCTCAGTACCGGGTTTGTATCATTAATATTTATAACTTTATGCTAATGTAAGACACCATTTATAACTTAAAAGTACATAATTCAGCACTTAAAGCTTTTATATTTTATTCCTTATTTCATTGTTCTCAACCGACATCTGTTACTTTTTATAAAATTACTTTTGTTGAAACTTTTTTCTTGTTTTAAGACCTTTGGATAAAGATTTTTAAGTAATGGTAACGAAAGATTCAGATTTTTTATGAGGGCTTTTTTTATATAGCATAAGCCGGTAAACGAGCAGACGGATCACCTGATGGTAAGCAATCGGCGCCGCCCACGGACACCCGAAACACCAAGGCGTTACAAATGCGTTACCGGCCTTTTGGGAATTTGAGGATTGTGGAAGATTCGGGGATTCGGGAGACTAGGATTCGTTGTTTCACGTCGGTTTTCTGTGAGGCCGTGTTATCACTTCGGTTGAACCGGCCCATTCGTGCCGAAGCATGGCTCTCCCAAACTTGAAAGAGCTGACGATGACACAGAGTTTAATGTTAAACCTTATCATATTATACTTAACTTACTCTTAACGCCTTTTACGCCCGAAGGGTAGGCAGAGGTGCACATTACGGCACTTAATGCCCCTGTACAATATAACACCCACTTTTCACTATTTATGTTATGAATCCCATGTAATAGGGGCCTATTGAACATTCCAGGCTCTGAGCTACTACTGATTTTTTTTATAAACAACCCAGTAATACTTTGTTCGGTCCGGGAAACGAAGCCGAGACTCCCAATATAAACATTTTGAGAAACATTGTGTGAAAGAAATGAATAGTTTGATCGAGGCATTTGCTGAGAAATTTTGATTTGGGTTTAGTTTGAAAAAATGTGACACGCATTTATGTTGGTGTCTAGGTATGCCTAGTCTATACCTTTAAAAAATCTAAGTCTGGTCTACACGATCTTTGTTTTAAGATACATACAAGTGATATTGCGATAGTGTTTTTGTAAAAAGGCTTTATTCTTTGACAAACACATCTATGAAAACCACATTTGTGATCAGTAGGTTTCATGTGATGCGCACAGAAACACACACACAAATAATTCTAAACACATTTTTGGGTTCTATTATGACCATAGTCTTAGGTTGATGTGTACGTACACCTTTGCATCCGCGGGCCTCCGGACGGCGAGCATGGGTGGCTCCCCGTCCGACCAGAAACAGAACCGAGCGTACGGCGCGTCGCGTTCCGCGCGCGCCTCAAAGAGCCATCAGACCACCACGGATGGGGCCCAACAGGGCTGATGCCCATTCGGAATCGCGGAGAACCTAACGGGTAACCGGGGCTCCGGCTCGACGTGCAGGAGAACGAACAGGGTGGTTTTTAGTCAGTAAGAGTCTGACACTCCCTCCCGCATCACCGAGGCGGGAGCAATAATTCGATGATTTTCCCCCCTTAAATAAAAAAACCCCTTTGCATCCGATGCTGAATTGACAAACAAGCTGGTATGGCATGTTATATACAGCATAACATGCAGTTAACATAGCTTGACGCATCTATATCCGTCTACGCTTTATGTAACGAAATAATTGTATGGACATTTCTCATTGTCTCTAGTAGGTCATATAGTCAACACAAACCCACAGACAAATCAAGGCATCCCCAGATTTCTATTAAAATATTATATTATCGACTATTTTTGACTGCCTCGTTGGCCGAATGGTCGCAAGTGCGACTGCCGGGCAAAGGGTCTCGGGTTCGATTCCCGGGTCGGGCGAAGTATTACTGGGTTTTTTAAAAGAAATCTCAGTAGTAGCACGGAGTCTGGAAATGGGCCTGGTATATGGCAATAGGCTCACCCCCTATTGCATGGGACTAATAACATAATTAGTGAATAGTGGGTGTTACGTCTGTGTGCACATCTGCCTACCTCTTCAGGGATAAAAGGCGTGATGTTATTTATGATGATGATGGTATGATGAATATTTTTGAATATAGAAAATAAATAAATATATACACGAAAAAATTCTAATTAATAAATTTTTATATTTCATTTTTAGTAATTTACATACGGTACTTACATAAGTAAAAATAACTTATATTAATACGCAGTCCTCATTCAATATTATAATATAAAACAAGTAATACTGTCAAACATCACAATATACTTTTGATATCTCAATATATAAATATAAATTTTGCATAGCTATTCAATTCATAGTTACATATTTACTAAAAACCTTATATTATAATTAAGTACTTATAATTTATAAAAACGATTACTTACATTGCACACTTATATAAAAAAAAACATAACATTTTCCTTAGTGACGGATCTAAAATTAGAAATCAACAATTATATCTAAAATAACAGAGTGATTAATTTAACCACTCATATATTAATTCTAATTTATAATAATTATGATTACTAATAATATAACTTATAATAATTATATTTACATTATATGCTATTATCACATGGATATAAAATTCGATTTACCACACATTCTCTCGCGCATCTTTCGATTATAATCGATTAATTGACATGTCGGAGTGTCTTATTTATTATAATAGTAATCATTATATTATATTTACATTAATATTTACTAAGTTTTAGTAATGATTGAGATATAATTAAGTGGAGAATGAAGTCTCTAATATATAAAATATTATATATGTAAAGGCAAGATACAAGGCACGAGAAATCATTTTACAATATTAAATAAATATATATATACATACACATGTATATATATAATAAATTTCACAAGAATAATTGATTTTTAAATTATAATTTGATAGTTATTTTGATCTTCTACTTATACTATTAAATGCCTAACGCCTACATCCTGTATCATCGTGTTGATCCATATTTTAGTACCATGATTAATAATTTATTAAATTCGATTTGAGAACATCATTGACCAAAAACAAATCTAAGGCCTAAGAGTCTAGACTGAGCCTTTCACAAATTCATAATCCTTACGTAATTTATATTAGCTTCGGACATAAAATTCAATAAAGCAACTGGCATTGTCAAAGACATTCTAATCTTCTAGAATTTGCATTTTAAAAATATTTGCTAAGTTATAATCAAACACGATTTTATAAGCCTCATTTTAAATATATACCTCTATATAACTAAAAGGTGACTGACTGACTGACAGTGTTCTATCAATTGAAAATAAATATCACTCTTCTACATCACAAACGTACAAAAGCGTCTAAAGAACTGCAAAAATCACCGTTATTGCCACACTCGAACAATCCATTTTAACACTAAAATGGCACGCACATGCTTTTGAAATAGGACCTTTTAAATCTAATGGCAGGAATCACAATCGTGTTCTTACTAGTGATGGTGTAGGAGACCTTCTTACATCGTAGACATCAAATAATCGACTTCCAGTGGTCACAAAAACTCCTGGTTTCTGATCTACTGGGTCATTTGGTGTCATATCAGTTACTGTTTCTTCTGTCTTCTCAGAAGAGTCCTTTTCTCCTTCTTTTTCATCGGGAATTGCTGGTTTCTCTGTGCTGTAAAACCTCTTAGGTCCTGGAAGCTTTTTCGCTATTTGTGCTACCACTGGGTGTAGTAGACGTTCATCAAAGGTGTCATTTTCGCTTCCTGTTAGCAGGCCGATAATGTTGCCTAGTGTTACACAGATTAAGGTACCAATGACTGCGTACCACATGTAGGATATGGAGTAGAATTTTTGCAACCCAGTTAATCTGTAAAAAGAAAAGTTTAATTAGGATTTTGAACAAGAGGATAATGCTATTGATTATACAAAAAAGAAAATATAATTATTGTACACATCTGTTGCTGGGATCATTTTGTAATTAAGTTTAGTGGGAATTTGTTAAAAATCCATCAAAGTACTGTTAATATGTAACTTTCAAATAACTGCCTCATTGACCGAGTGATCGCAAGTGCGACTGCCAGGCAAGGGGTCTCGGGTTCGATTCCCGGGTCGGGCAAAGTATTACTGGATTTTTTTTTAATTCTCAGTAGTAGAACGGAGTCTGGAATTGTGCCCAGTATATTGCAATAGGTTCACCCCTATTACATGGGACTCATAACATAAATAGTGAAAACTGGGTGTTACATTGTACAGTGGTATAATGTGCCGTAATGTGTACCTCTGTCTTCCTCTTCGGGGATAAAAGACGTGATGTTATGTTCAAATAACTTACTTTCAAAACTCATACACCAAAATTAATTTATCAATTTTAATATAATTCCTTGAGAATATTGAATCGTCGTGTCGTTCTCATTTTCATAACTATGGTTGTTCGTAGTGTAAAATTAGATCCTATTTCAAATTAATTTATATCAAAACGAATACAGCTAACAAAGGTGGTTACCTACTTTAAACTTAAGTAATACTTACATAGGAGATTCAGTGGGCATAGGATGAGTCATGTTGATAGACTGCAGTAGTGGTGCAAGATGTGCTAGAGTTACGTTCACCTCAACTGGCAAAGCTTGGTGGCTCAGTGTCGATAGAGTTGCATTGGGACATTGCTGAAAAAGAAAATAATACATTTATAGAATAAATATCTACATTTTCATCCTTATCATCATCGTTATAAAGATTAAAATAATACACAGATGTTTTATTACAAGCTTAAATCTTTTAATTGAATTTAGTACTCAAAATACTGAGTTTCCGTTTAATCGGACTTTTTCACAAGCATGAGTGGTTTGTCTATTACTATTTTATTATTATTAACGTCTTCTTCATCTCCTTTATTCTCATCTAATTAGTACGTATTTATATAATTACTAGTACTCATATCCTCATGTACTAAGTCACTAATTGCTCAATTAGAACTTATTCAATAGCACGATATGAATCACAGCAGAAGGCGCGTTCGGCCCGCTCCGCAGCAGATTCTAGTAGCAAATAGCAGCGCGATAGTCGCTGCGTCGCTGGTCGCGGAATGCTGCTCATGAATATGAGCCTCTAACATGGCTTAAACCTAGTCGAGTTCCTCGTCAAACAGCTACGTAAGTCAATAGCACAAGATTAAAATACTCTAACTAACCAAAAAACGAATGAAGTAATAAAGATGACACCAACCTCAGTAGACATAGGCAACATGGCGACTCCTTTATCGACATATAAAAGCCTGCAAGCTGCCATCCAAGTAGTTACTATATGGGATCCAATCATGCCCCATAAAGCTCCTTTCCCATTGGCAACAGGACAGAGTGCCGCTAATATAAACACTCCTAGTAAGGCTCCTGAGGTAGCTGATGTGACGAGCTGTGATCCTTCCACGACTCCTCCCACAATACCGACGCAAAGAGATAGGCACATGATGATGAGAGCTGTAGAAAGAAATATAGATGGTAAGAAACAATCCTTTTTTGTAATCAGCCTAAATTTTTAAATAAGTACAGTCGATGCTGCCCAGCTACAAATTCTCAAATAGTTTAAAGTATTTATTAAGTGTTTAATGGTAAACATCATTATCAACAACCTATAGCCTCTTATACGCCTCTTCTCACATAGAGAAGGATAGAGCATTAATCGCCACACTTGCCCATTGCGGGTTGGCGATTTCAAAAATTAGAAATTATAAGTTCAGGTTTCTTCATAATGTTTGTCTTCATCGTTTTCAGTGGTGTCTAAATAATCTAAGAAAGTACAAATAACTCGGAAAAAGTCATATTGGTACTTGCCGTTGGTAGGTTTTGAACCCGCAACCTCATGCATGAGAAGCATTTATAATTTTATCATTCATTTCATTTTATTAATGGTAACAATCACGTAAATTTCTGAATTGAGTTAAAGAACTCGGAATAAGGTACAAAATTCAAATAACTACGTTTGTAAACAAAAAGAATAAACGCATATACTTGACTTCATCGATAACAATTGAATACTTTATCATTATGACAAGCGTCTTTAGTATGCATTAAAATCGAAAGAACGATTAACACGGCAATTAGGTAGGGTACATCTCATTCTCAAATATAGCTTACCATAAATAACTCCAATGATTTTGATAACAGTCAGCTGTTGTTTATCACTGATGCCCTTGAAAGCGGGTGCGAAGGACACAAAATCTTCCCAAGTCACCGTCGATAGAGAGTTCACGTTTGATACCAGGAAACTGCAATAAAATAATGATTTAGATTAATGTTAATGTTAAATAACAACTTAAGGAAAAGGTTTGAAAGAAAGGACACAATATTTTCTCACGCCCTTTACTTGATAATGGCTATAAACTTGTTTTAAAGCCATAAAACAATAAAGGCATATCTAACTATCCATAACTGAATACTTCGCCAGCTGTAGAAGTGTAAATATTTTACGTATGTGACGTATCGTATGATCGAATGTTATGACCTGATTTTTATGTCCATTATATTATACTATAGCTATTTACACAGCTGTTTTAAAAATTACCAAACAAATTTAACTAACCTCAATGCGCCATTAAACAGACTGCCCAAAAACAATCCAAGCATTCCAGGTAAGAAACCAAACTGGTCTTGGACGTAAAAAGGCAAAACTTCATCAGGAGCTGCGATCTTTCCAGACGAAAGAGGATCACAGTACTTGTACATAGCATACAAAGTCATGCCAACGACCCAGGAGAGACTGAAGAGGATAGCTACAGCTGGGACGTTGGCGAAAAGGGTTTTTCTGACTCTTGCTTCACTGGACATGGAACAGTAGCGCTGGACGAAGGTTTGTTGGCAGCCGTAGATGGACACTGACATGAAGAGCTGGCCAATGATTGCTGAGAGCGTGTCGACACGGACGGTTGGGTCGCCTGTGAACCTGGAAGATTGAATAGTTTTATGTTTACTATTATATAGAGGTACAAAACTAAAAGTATTGTCAGATGCGAGGTGGAAAATAGTATAATCCATCCATGAGTCATCTGTTGTCAGGGCATCATTAAAGTAAATTATAACCACTCACTGGAAAAACTTCAGTCTTCCTCCCTCGATATTGTCGCTGACCACTTGTTGTGGACCTCCAGCTGTGATTGTCGCCTGAATGATGAAGGCACCGCTCACCAGTATCATTGTCAAAGTTTGAATCACGTCAGCTCTGGAAAAGATAATACTCAAGATAAATGAGTAGCTCTTAATGCTGAGGCAATAAGATGTCTTGGGATCTTGCAGTGACTCGTTCAAAGAATAATAATTATATGTATATTTCTGATTGTGGCACACGGCCTCAAATGGTCACTTTTATATCAAGCAATTAAATATGTTAACCTGCCTCAAGACTCATTAGGTTGACTAGGAAGAACCACAAAAAATCTGTTTTGATCATAGAATTGCAAACTGGCACACATTCCAAGGACATAAGTTAAGCTAAATCCTATATTACCTGATAGCAGCAGCCAATCCTCCAAGCAAGTTGAACACAATGCCCACAATAGTCAATGCAGCAGCTGATGCCCAATGCGGTAGTGCCAGTACAGCGTGAAGAGCCACAGTAGGAGTGTATACTGTCACTGATAGATTTAGGACTTGTCGAAGAAGGAAGGTTGCAGCTGCCATACGTCGTACCCATCGGGAGCCGAATCGCATCTGAAATTGATTAAGGGTGAGATTAAAGAAATTGTTCTTCACAAAATAATCGTTGCAAGGAAATTCAGAGAAGCCTGAAAGTGGATGAAGTAATTATGATAAGTAGTCATAATGAAAGATTTGGTTTTATACTTATGTTTCATTACATCTTTGGTTTATCACAAAAATAATTGAGAACAATTTATTTTGATCTATGAATGAGCAGTGAATGACCAAATTAGACTGATTGTAGGAATATCAATACATAGTATAAAACAAAGTCGCTTTCGCTGTATGTCCGTATGTATGCTTAGATCTTTAAAACTACGCAACGGATTTTGATGCGGTTTTTTTTAATAGATAGAGTGATTCTTAAGGAAGGTTTGTATGTATAATACATGCATATTGCACCCGTGCGAAGCCGGGGCGGGTCGCTAGTATAATATAATATAATATGTTTGATATGTATAAAGAAATATTCTCTAACTCAAGATAAGAGGTACAAATGAAAAACAAAAGAAACTTACTTGTAAATATTCATACACGGAGTTGGTATGTAGCCTATAGTAGACCGGTACGAAGACCCAGCAGACGATGGGAAAGGCAAGGATAATGCCGTATAATGTTTCCCACATCGCAGAGCCATAGTAGACCAACTCAGATGGAAACCCTGGAAATAATGAAAGCTTAGCGTTAGTACAAATATGTACGCAGGTACGTATATTCATGCCTATCTATTTAAGTATCGCGTAAGATAAAAATTGGAGTGACGTGTTGACGTTTGGTCTTGTTCGAGACCATTTCGTAATTGTGTTGTTCAAGAATTTAAAAAATACTTTGTCTAATCCAATAAAGATTTTTTCATAAACTATTGTTGTAACTATTGACCTGGACTGAATCATCAAAACATTTTATTTCTGTTTTAATACCCATGACTAAATATTTTGGAAAATTTTCTAGTTCATCGAACGAAGCCGTGTGTCAACATTATTTTCACAATTCAGGCATTTCAATGACTAAATACTTGACTCAGAATAAATATTTTTAGTACGTAAACGAGGTGTAATTAGTGTATTTTGGCGCGTTTTCAAAACTAATTGTTTGGTTACTACATGTAGTTTTGAAAATAAGCCGAATTTAAATGGCTGACATTGTGCATTGCCCATTTAATGTATTTGGACAAGGATATTCCCAATATGAGTCATATGATGGATAACAGGATTTTCCTTTGAGAAAAGTTCTTTGCTCATCTTTTCATTCTCAGAAAATGAGATGTTTCCTTATCCAAAAATACAAGGAAAAAGGGACGTAATGCTTCGCCCGAAACCAATTAAATCTTTGCGTGGTTTAATTTTTACTAGTCCATGTTACAATGGTGGGTTAAAACCGCAACGTCATATCATTTAAAGAGCTTGCAAGAGATTATTTAGTTTTAATGTTTTTAGACCATGTTATATAGGTCATCATGATCAATTTCAACAGCCTATAAATGCCTACTGCTGAGCAAAGCCTCTTCTCACACAGAGAAGGTTTGATCATTAATCACCATGCTTGCTTATTGCGGGTTGGCAATTTCAAACTTATGATTAGAAATTATAAGGTATCCTAGCGATGTTTTTCTTCACCGTTTGTCAGTGGTGTCTAAATAATCTTAGAAAGTACATATAACTCGGAAAAGGTCCACATTGGTACTTGCCGTTGGTAGGTTTCGAACCCACATGCATGATAAGCGGGTCTTAGCCTACGAACCACCACGATTACATTTAGATACCACGTGTTAATTTTTATTGATTTTACTTAATTGTACTAATAGGGTAGATGACTAATTTTTATTTTAATGTCCGTTTGGTAGATTATTTTAAATCATTAGACACGGTTTTTTTTTTACAGAATCGAATTCTTTCGTCGATATATTAATTTAAATTTCGCGTGACGTCACTTCTATGTACATTTTATACGTAGAAATAACGTTTTAGCCCCCACTTCTAAACTTTCATTCGTTTTATTTAAGCATAATTTTATTATATGATAAAATAAAAAAATACATGTCTAATATTTTTTAATTACCTAACTGACGGACTAATTAGATTTTTAATTTTTATACCCTGTTATCATCCCTATTGTCAACATCGTAACTTCAGTTCATTGGCACGAAAATCCCAAAGCCTTATGCCTCTGTTAATTGTTTGAAGGTTTTAGAAGCCTTTCAATGTTAGCACGTTTTGGCACACACATCACGGTTTTGGTCACGTGGTTTGACAGTCTTTGATTTCGGACATGAGTAGGGATGATATTACCATATAATGTTCATAATATGTCACAATTTTACGTCACGTCTTTTAATTTATTGAAGGAATCACACAATTTATTAAATGCTACATCCACTTTCCAGTAATACGACATAATGGGCATAATTCCAAACTCCTTGACATGATAAGACAATTTGCAACACCAAAAATATCCAATGCCCAATTGCCTAAACCGGGAATCGAACTTGAGATTCTTTGCTAGATCTTAACATCATTCCTAGTGCTCTTCATCAAGTATTGTGTTTATTAAACCTAAACAGAATCCAAATTTTTATACTAAATCAAAATGGGAAGAGCCTACTATAATGATGCAATGCTAGATTCCAAACCAATAACTAAGAACTTCTAAAAATGGAAAACAGAATAATCTATATATATATAAAAGAAAGTAGTTACACTATTTATAACTCAAGAACGGCTACATCGATTTGGATGAAAATTGGTATGGAGGTAGGTTAGAACCAGGAGACGGACATAGGATTCTTTTTACCCAATACTTTTTTTTACTTTTTACCGAAAATCTAAAGTACGATCATATCTCTGAATTTCGCAAAGGACTCAAGTGGCTCCCAATCCGACTTCACAGGAACACTCGCATCTTATGTCTTCTTTTCAACATACTTTTTAATCCCGATTATCCCTCTTACCTTCGTGAACGTTTTTCCTTTGCCCGCCCTCCTGAGGCTCTTTCCCGATCTCATCTTAAATCTAATCTTTCTGTTGTCTCACACAATACTGATTTTTACACCTATTCCTTCACTGTTCATGCAGTGCGACTTTGGAATTCCCTACCACCTAATATCCGTGATTCTAAATCCATCCCAATCTTTAAAAGACTCGTAAGGGAGCACTACCTTTCCTCATCTTGTTCAAATTAGTGTCATATATATATATATG